GATTTTTTTTTTTTTTTTCAACTCTGCCTCCAGGTTGGCGGAGTGCTGTCATTGTGTGAATGGATAAGCGAATATAGTGAGAGTGAACTCCCATCATCACCCAACCTAACCTCATGTTTTTCCCGAGTTGATGTATATCTGATCAAACTCAGGTCTTAGACTTGCTGTAACTGTTTCTAGAAGTGTGAGTTCTTGGGGGAGAGAGTTAGGCGCCGCTGGCTGTGAAGTCTTGGGGCCAGAGAGAGCTACAGTGGTCTGAGTGTCAGCGAGGCTGGGATCTGTAATTTGCCTGTGAGTTCAGTACGTCTCTGGCTGCCGCCCAGGCTCCAGTGCGGCCTGAGTCAGCCTGCTTCTAGCTATATCCTTCCGCCGAGTCTGCGCGAGCCTCCGGGCGGGTCCCTCCCCCCCTCGAACCAGGGCCGCAGAAGCCCTGCCTCTTGGCACCCCTACAGCAGGTCTGGAGCAGCGCTCCCGTGGCCAGGGCACGCCATCCAGTAACCTCTGCTTAGCAGCCGGCAGCCAGGGAGCTCAGGAGAAAGATGCCCCACGCCTTTCGTGTCGAGCTTGACCGTTGCGTGCTCATGGTCCCGCGCATGCTCCCCTCAGCGGTCGCAATCGGAGAGGCCCGTGTGTGCACTCATCTCAGGCACGCGCACTCCCGCTGTCCCGGCGCGTAGGCAGAGGTCCGCCAGCTCCTCCGCGGACCCCGCGTGCTTGCCGGAGACCCCCGCCCGTGTGCGTCTCCCCTCGCGGACCGGTACACGTGCACCCCGCCTGCCTGCCCGCCAAGATGGCCTGCTCACAGCTATCGCTGGCGGCTGCAGCCAAAGAGCTCAAGTCGCGCAAGACCCATGCCCCGGCCCAGCGTCTGCCCTCTGCTAAGCAAGCGGACCCAGCGAGTGGGCGTGGCATGACGAGAAGCCACCAGCTCAATCTCCTTTGGCTTGCCCACTCTTCTCCTCCTCGCCCCGACCTCCGCAGAGCAGCATCATGTCGGCGCCGGCAGCCAAAGTCAGTGAAAGAGGGCTAAGCGCCGGGTGCACGGCTCCCTACCCCCTGCGCTGCGAAGGCCTGAGGAGCATTTTCCTGCCCCTGAACCAAAGCCGTGGAAGCCTGATCACCCTGCCTTCAAAGTGTCTTTCAGCTGTGTTTCCCAATCTGCAGCTGGTCTGAGGCGGCGCCCTTCTTGGTAGCAAGGCTTAGGCGATGCCGGCGGATTATCTTCACTCTACGAGCATTCGGAGCCACAGAACTGAGGCCAAGACAAAATCCATTTTGTGCAGGGAACTAGCCACGTAGGTGTAGAATGTGCGCGTCTGTGAGCATCCCTGCCCAGTGCCTACCCCCTGCTCTGAGGTCAGAGCTCATTGTTGAAGCAGCCGAAGCCTCAGTCCCTCTGAAGCGCATGCAGAGAGTGAGCTTGCGTGTTCCAGAGAAAACTTTCTTCCCCCAGTGAGGGGAAAAGAGCATTCTTTAGCTTTTCCTTGGTTAAGTCTCAGTTTCAGGGTTGGGTAAGAGACAGAGACAAGTGAACCTCCACACTCAGTGTCTTTGTTCTAACTAAAGCCCTTGATTGATAGCCAGCCAGCTACATACCCTTCCCCCAAATTGCCAGATTGAAATGTTTCTGAAAGTTTTTAGTGGGATCTAAAACCCAGGAATCATTTGAAAAGTTGAAAAGTATCATTTCTGATGAGTTGCCACATAATTTACTCAATACTGAGCTAGTAGAAATAGCACAGGAGCCAACTAATGACCACGAGGCCCTCTGTGTGTGTGTGTGTGTGTGTATGTGTATATAGAGTCAGGATAGAGTTCCTTTGCCTTATAATCTTAAGAGTAAGTCCTGAGTCTACCTGTGTCCTGTCCTTTGATCTGGGCACTAGGACTGTTTTTTAGTATCTTAACTACAGCCCTCTGAGGTAGAAGGCAAAGAGACAGACCAAGACCAAGTTCCACTGTAAGAGTAGATCTGGGAGCTGAAGGAAAAGGGTTGTGTTCTCATGGCTAGGGAAGCTACCCACCAACATGGAAGCAGTTTTGGAATACCTAGGTAGGTACAGGTCTTAGCAATGTTCTCTCCTGCACCTTGCCTTCGATGCCAAACCTTGCCCATGTGGCTCAGGCCTGTTCAGGCTATATCCTTATCTTGTGAATGTTGAGAACTTCCTAATACACCTTCCTCCCTGAAACTTTGGTGAGACTTCCAATTTACTCCCTGGGTCTTTGGCCTGCATGTGCTTTGAAGAACCTCCAAGAGCCAATGTGATGTCTTCCATAGATCTCCTTTTGTTAGTGTAATGACTAGCCCCCATGGGTCCTCTTGGACCCAAAACTGGATATAGGCAATACCTGGTTTCCAAAGTGGTCTCTGCTGTAGATAACACCCCACAGTAAGGCCTTTGTGAGGTTTCATTGGCCTCAGAACCCAGAAGAGCCAGATGAAGCCTAGATGCGCCCTCTGCTGACAACTGCTCAGCCTTGCTTTAGCTCCATTTTGACAACCAACTTTATTTCCTTACAGATTCCAGCATGTGATGTTAGTGCCCTGTTGTTCTTGTGAAAAACTTTATTCTGTTGTCTTTGATGTAGTAAAAAAAATTCATGTAGTTTATGAATATCTGATTTACAAAGAAGCCTCCCATGTGGCCCCCAACAGCCGGCAGAGTCTGTCCCCCATTGGACGGGAGGGCAGGCATCTCAAAGCGTGAGTGTTCTCCAGGCCTTCACCCCATTTCCCAGGTACTTTAGGGCCCACTCATGCTCCCGATGAGTCTCAAGGTTGCTGAGAGAATCTCCTAGTGTCCTGAGAGGCTAGATCTTTCCACACTGCTGTATCGACCTCCAACCCTTAATTAGTATTTAGTGTTCATAGGACAGTGGTAGTAATTTTTACATGTTGGCAGCAATCCTCCAGAGAGTTAAAAGTGATGTTCAGCCAAAATAGTGACACAATGTTGCCTGATCCTATACCAACATGTGAATATCATTTCACTGGTACCATTCTATCACCCAGCAGGAGAAGTTTCTCCTTCATTTCCCAGGGGTGAGGGAAGTCATTATAAGGGACAATAGAGAAATTAGAAGCATGAGTAGATAGTGTTTCTGAGTTTAGATATAGAGGCATAAGTCAAGACAGTTAGGGATAGGAGAGAAGTACTGAAGACAAGGTTAACAGTGAGCAAGTAGATGTAGCTGAAAAGGTAGCTAGAATGATGACTACTGATCAAGACTCTCAGTCAAGTGTGAAGAGTCGTAAATCAAAGTGCTAGTTCCAAGAGAAAGAAATGAGAATGTAAATTCAATACAATGTATCTGAAGAAAATCAGACTGTATTTTGTTTAGCAGCATAGAAGAAAGATCAAGAAGAGAGTAGATCCTAGACAAGACTATTCAATTCATCTGAGTGATTTACAGAAGGTAGCTGAGAGACCGTTACAGGAGTAAGGCATAAGAGTAATTTGCTATGTAGCAGAGTGAGAATGCGCAAGAGAAGAAAACATTTACCTCAAGAGCTAAGAAATCAGGTGAGAAGTGTAGAAAATGAGAGTATAGTAGCCAAAGAGAGGTCCAAAGACGAGAAGCAGCAGTGTTAAGAATAGGTGGTAGAAGTAAGTAAAAAGAAGCAGAAAGAAAAAAAAAGAAAGAAAGAGAGAAATCAGTGTAGAAAAGAAGGAAAAAGGAGAGGCAGACCAGACCACCACGCAAAAAAGAGATTGTTCTCTGAAGAGCTGAGAATAAGGCTGAGCTTCTTTGCATCAAGTGCAAGGTTAAGTTTATAAGCTAAACACAAAAATTGGCAAAAGAATTACAAGAAGAACCTCCCTGAGAGGCTGTGTTCAAAGAGTTTAATATAAGTTGGAATACAAAAATAAAAGAGAAGGCAAAATCAGCAGTTTCCAAACTAGGAACCAGGATAGACCGCAGAAAGTAAATTGATGGCATTATAGTATTCAAGTCAGATTGTAGAGTGTAGATCAGAGAAGGAAAGAAGATACAAAGTCCAGAATGTGAGGCAGTGAAGAGAAGTTGAGAGAAAAAGGCATGATGAATTGAGAAGAAAGAGTAAGATGTAACCTGTTAACAACCCCAATGACAGGCTAGTTGAGAGGCATGTAGACAGAGTCTAGTATGTACGTAAGAAAAGATGGCAAATAGTAGAGGAGTTGATTTTGTTTGGAAGATGTTTAGAAGTGTAAAGTTTAAGACTTAGAAAGTTAAAATGACCTTAGAATTCTAAGGCATGTCTAGTAAGTAGCAGTCTATCAACTAAATATATCAATAGCCCACCTAGAATGATTGTCAGCTCACCACAGAAGAGCGAGAAAGAATCCAGACAGAGGCCAAGTCACCACAAATGCTGACATCATTAGAACCTTTCTTCCGTTGTCCCTACTAGACTGGAATTTCAACATGACAGAAGGTAAGAAGAGACTCCAGACCTACTGCCAGGCTCTGTTGGGAAGTCTAAAAGTGGCTGCAAAAAGCCCACTAATTTGGCCAAAGTAAGAAATGTGCAGCAAAAGCCAGATGGGAGCACTGCTGCATTTTTTAGAAAAGATTCAGGAAGCCTTCTGCAAGTATACTCCTATAGATCCAGAAGCAACTGAGATTAAAGCAGCTGTTAATCAGACAGCTCCTGAGATTAGAAAGAAGTTACAGAAAGTATCTAAGATTTAGTAATAATTTCTGAGAAAGTGTATGTTGTTGTTGTTGTTGTTAAGTGCCATCGAGTTGGGTCCGACCCATAGCGACCCTGTACAGGGTTTCCGAGGGTGTAAATCTTTACGGGAGTAGAAAGCCTCATCTTTCTCCCACGGAGCGACTGGTAGTTTCGAACCGCTGACCTTACGGTTCGCAGCCCGATTCGTAACCACTACGCTATACTGTATAACCATAGAGAAATAGTAGAAGAGAAGTCTGTTGAGTTTCTAATAGACATGGGAGCCCAACATTCTGTTCTGTGGGTGCCATAAAACCAAGTGTCTAACAAAACCTCTTAAGTCCAAGAGGCCACCGGGATGAGACAGTACTAATGGACTACTTGAAGAGCAGTAGAACAAAGTGTGGGTCGAGTATCCCACTCATTCATAGTTATTCCAGACTGTCCATATCCCCTACTTGAAAGATTTGCTCACCAAGCTAGATTCACTTTTATCCCGAGAAGACAGAAGTCCTAGACAAGAGAAGAGAGCACATTCAGATGTTGACTGTGAATCTTGAAGAATACCAGCTACACCAAAGGCTGGCACAGCTGAACCCTGATGTTGATTAGTGACTGGTAACATTTCCTGAGCTGTGCCAACCATCATGGAATACCCCCTTGTTGCCAGTACGTAAACCCCTCACTATTGACTGTCGGCCTGTGCAAGACCTCCGTGAAGTAAACAAGAAAACATGCCTGTTGCCAGAGGCAACAACTTAGCCGACCAGAGGGCCAGAGAAAACTGCTTAAAAGCCAACGTAGCCCTAGTGACTCAGTTGCCTGACACAGGAGACACCGCCTTGCCTGAGGACCAGCCTTATACCAAGGCTGACCTAGACTAGATCAAACATCTGACCATGACACCTCATAGAGAAGAAATGCATCAGTCCACTCACATGAACATTTGTAAAATGCAAGACCTCTTGAGAAAAGCAGAAATCAAGATTCGTAATGCTAACTCCAAGATTAAGCACATTGTTGCTGCCTGTAAAGCATGCCAGCTCACCAATGCAGCTAAAACTAAAGCTAACCCAGGCTGCAAGATGAGAAAAGAAATCAACTGGGTGCCTGCTGAGAATTAGACTTTTCAGAAGTAAAACCCAGAAAATATAGTTACAAGTATATGTTAGTCTTTATAGACCCGCCATCATTTCCAAAGTAAGTCAGAGTTCAGCTATAAAGTACTGGGGGCCGATTAGAAATTACATTGTGTATACAGACCCTAGAGTTCAGGTCAAGTAGATAAGATTAATAGAACCCTAAAAGAGACGTTAAATTAACTTCGGAGACTGGCAGTAACCAGATAGCTCTTCTCCCCTTTCGCCCTCTATGAAGTGAGAAAATGTTCAACTGTAATTGTTGTTGTTAAGTGCCGTCGAGTTGGTTCCGACCCATAGCGACCCTGTACAGGGTTTCCGAGGGTGTTTGTAATTAGTAAATATTATATACCTCCCTCTAATAAGTAGTA